GAAGGATCCACACAAGCTCGGTGAAATGATCTGCCACCAGGGTTATCACCTTTGGACTTGAGCCGTCTCCACAATTTAGTCTTTAATCGCTCTGGATCTGCAGGAGTCCCAGACTGCATGATGGATGTCACTAAGCCGATATCCAACACCCAAAAGTCATCTTTTCTGTGTCTGTAGGAATCTTCTCCTCCGTGGATTAGCAGTCGGCCACCTATGATGAGATTGGCCGAGTGACCAACTCTTGGCAAGGCCAACCCCTGGGGTATATTTTGCAAGTCAAATAGTAACTGTACCCATCTCCAGTGACCTTCAGATGTATCGAAAAGCCATACATCATTAAGCACCTCGTAGCCCAAACCCCTCCCTCCAAACAAAATTGTTTGGTTTCCTCCAACATGGGTCAATGTATGCCCAGAGCGAGATGGAGGAGACGGATGAGTCACAATTTCTTGCCAAACTCCAAGATGAAGATTCTCAGACAGTTCTAATACCCACGTATCTCCCAGTCGCAAGCCATTCAAACCAATCCCACCTTGAATCAGCATCCTCCTTTTATCAATGCTACATGCAGCATGAGCGCCTCTTGGTGGAGGCGCAATGGAACCAACATCAAGTAGCCTCCAGGACAATGTGATAACAAATGTATCATGTACCGCTACTTGACCGACCCACGTATCATTTTGGCGGGCGCCATGATCATTTATTCCTCCAAAAAGGACTAGACAATCACCAATCACAACACATGAGTGACCAAAGCGGCCACTTGGGATCCCTGATTCAATCTTGTTCCACTTCAATATTCTCCTGAAGTCATTGCCAACATATGCTACCCATGTATCATCCAGATGCTTTCCTAAAGTATAGGACAAATAACACCACTTTAGGAAGAAATATTACTGATATGAAGCCACGGTTATCTACAGACAAACATCAGAAAGCCAATTACTGCATATGAAGCCACGATAATCCACATAACTAATTTTATAATATGTATGCTATTCAGTGTTTAGATGTTTGCTGTCATCTGAATTTAAGTTTTCGCGCTAAGCGAAGTTGTGAAAGATGGCTTACTGTGATCCATGTCTAATGTTAGTTCATTTCTCCCCTTAAGCTAACTCTTTCACGATCTTTTCAAAATTTCTCTCAGTAAATTGAAATTCATCACAGTTAGCTTTTAACTAGAAGAATACAGCAGAATTTATATATCTATCCCAAGAACATATAAAAGTTTTAGAACTTCTCACAAGCTTGCATGTGGTGCTTCATGTGTAAAGTAAAGCCAAGACACTGATCACATGAATTTCATTCAACATGGTCCATTAAATAGCCAAAACAAGAGTATCCTTCCCAGCATATCCGAAAACCTAAATAAATAAAAAGATCTCAGCTCTATTAATGTAAGAAGCAGATATCCAGTAGCATATAGCAATACCGAAAAAGCTCCATGACATTAGTCAGCAGTACCCTGATTTGTTTTCTTCAAATGGAATAGCCCTATGAAGAACTGAAATGAGAGAAAAAATCTAAGCTTGAACTAATCAAGAGAAAAATACTTACTAGATCACTATAAAAAGCTGAGCTTGTAAAAGAAAACAACTAATCAAGAGATAGGGAAGGAGCTAGAGTATCATGTACGGGTTCGGAAGACCCCAATAGCTTTTGCTTAGACCAGTATTTGTATTATGAAATTCATTAAATATGTATAATTTAATTGCAAACCTAGTAAGTAAGGCGATCTATGGATTCGGTGGCAATTTTACAACCCATATGCCTCGGTCAAAAGAAATATCCTTACTAGATCACCATAAAATGCTGAGCTAGTAAAAGAATACAAGCACAATGACTTACACAAAGGCCAAGTATATGCTTCATCTGAGCATTAATCAATAAAACCATGAGAACAAGCAAAAATGATAGTAATAGGAAACGAATTAACTGAGTTTACCAAAATCTTTTAACACCATGTGACTTTTGCCTTAATGACCTTTGCCTTAATATCCCCTTTTCATTTCTTTTTTTCAGCAGAGGAGGAACCAAAATCCTTGGAAATGCAGTAAAAAGATTAATGAACATAGCAAAAATTTCAGATTTATGAAAAGTTTAGTCAAGAAATCAAAATCCATTAATGAGAATACTGACTGACCTCCCTCGCAACCCCCACCGAAGAGAACTAAACAACCAGAAACAAAATTGAGAGAATGAGAAGCTCTAGGCCGAGGAAGAAGCAGCTCTTCATCTCCTCCTTGTGGATGTGTAGTCAAGATTCTGTTACAGTAAACAGAGTCCAATTGGTAGATTTGCTGGTACAGCTTTTTCCAAGGAAATTGCTGTTGTTTATTACTGTCAGTAGCAAAGGATCTGAGCGCATCAATGGATGATTGACCCCAATCTCTACGGCAAAGAGATTCCCAAAAAGGGTCAGAGTAAGTGAGAGACCTGAATTTCTTACAAGTCATAGCAAAGCAAAAGATTGAGTCTAAAGGTAAGAGTAGTAATATGGAGAAAAGATGGTCTTGGGCTATTCTTGTAATTGGAGATGATCCATTGATAGAAGGATTGCTGCAGCTGCTGGTTGTAGCCATGGGAGATGAGAGTGAAGAGCACACGCTGCTGCTGATTTGTTGGGATATTATGGCTCTGAATTTTTACCTTCTTGTGTTGTAGGCGGAGGGCTCTGTTTTTTGCTCTGGCTTTGGTCTTGTTTTTTTTTTAACCATAATTCAACTTTCATTTTACTATACCAGAAGCAGAGCAATTACTTTTCTTGGTTGCTACACTTCCAACCAAGAGGTTGTGAGTTCGAGTCTCCCCAAAAGCAAGGTGAGAAATTTTTGGAGGAAAGGATGTCGGGGGTCTATTTGGAAACAGTCTCTCTACCCTAGGGTAAGGGTAAGGTCTGCGTACACACTAACCTCCCCAGACCCCACTAAGTAGTATTATACTGAGTTGTTGTTGTTGTGGTTTATATGCCATTATTAATAGCTTGTTTGGATTGGTTGTTATATACAATTTCATAATGTATAGTATTTTATTGTATTGTACGGTATTATTTTAATCATTTGATGTATATAATATTAGAATATATTTTATTATTTGTCGTCATTTTATAATACCTTGCACAAACAATATTAAGAATAAATTTATAATATTATTTTATAAAAAGTAAGGTAAATTTTAATATTATTATATAAAAAGATAGGGTCAAAGATAAAATATAATTATTTAATAATAAAAAAAGGCATAATGAGAGAAAATAATGAGATGACATCAAATTAATTGTTGTATAAAGTGACACTTTTTCTCGTTACGTAACGATGAATTAAACGATACAATATAATAAAATTTAAGTAATAATTAAAATAAATATTGTACTTAGGGCTCATTTGATATGAGGGATAAGGAATAATTAAGCCTTAAACTAAATTTAAGAAGAGTCTATCTCATGTTTGGTTGGTAGAAAATTGCGGTATAATTAATTCGGGGATTGTAGTATTTTTTTATCCCTATGAAAATATGGAATAACTAATCTCGAGATAACTAATTTCGAAATAATTAATTCTGAAATAACTTTTTTCCAACCAAACGATTCTTAAAAGTAACAATACGATACAATACAATAGGAACAACCATCCAAACAAGCCGTAACTTTCTTTTTTTGTTACTACATTAGAGACAGAGGATTGGCAGTAACCTTTTTTTGGTTTGTTTGTTTGTTGGTTTTAGTGGACACTGGGACAAGAAATGTCAGTGAGGATATTTGTCATTTTGTGTTTTGGTGGAAAAATCCAGTTTCATCCTCATCATCTTGGTACTAGGCAATCCAATAAGGAGGGTCTAGTTTAAAGTTCACAAATCAAATGGCGTTAACGGCATTCTCTCCCAATTCCACACTCCACAATCGCTTTCCAAATAATATATTCTTATCCAACACTTAGGCTTTAGTTTTAACGAGTCAAAGTTGGATACTGGTCGAACTTACCGTCAGACCTCTCTATAACATTCATATATAACACTTTTTTACTATTAAAATTAAATTTTTTCGAAACTAATTTTCATGTTATGTTATAATATACTATCTCTATAGTAACACTTTACTATAATATCCAAAAATATTCCGAACAAACAAGACTATTATAAAGAGATTTAACTCTCTATAACATTCATATATAACATCGTTTCACTATAAAAATTTAATTTTTTCGAAACTAATTTCATGTTATGTTATAATATACGATCTCTATAGTAACATTTTACTATAATATCCAAAAATATTCCGAACAAACGAGACTATTATAAAGAGAATTGACTGTACTAATAATTGAGATAAAAGATTTACAGATAGAGATTCTATGTTTAGGTGATAATCTCACTATCCAAAGTTGAATATGATTGATTTCGCCCTTAATCAGACCCATATTAAAACAAAAAATATTGCATCCACAGTATCTTCTCAGTCATTGAATTGCTTTATGAATAATTGCTGGGAGAATCTATCAAACTAATTGTCCTTGGCAGATGAAATTATAAAATAGTAAAAATAGAAACAATGTCATTTGCATTTTATTTAACAGGCAGCACTAAACAGTACAAACGTACGTCTATGAAAATACCTAATTTTGACAAGTATACCGGTTCAGCATAATATACTAGAGTTTGGTAGCAAAGTATATCGATCCAGCATAATATGCTGGAGTTCATACACAGGTGCACCAAACTCCAGTATATTATGTTGGACCGGTCTCTGTTACAGCAAAATAATAACTATTTTCCATTGATTTGATAAACGCTGGCTCTTTTTGAATGACCAGTCTGAAAACTGGCTATACCGTGCTATTTAGGACAAACGTACGTCTATGAAATACCTAATTTAGGCAATAAAAGTGCTTTTGATCCCATGATTTATTCTCTACATGGAAATTAGATGATNCACCCCCCACCCAAATCCCCTCCAAAAAAATCCCTTTTTAGTTGCAACAAGTTCATACTGTCCCAGGAAAATGTGATGAGAACATTCTTGAAACACCATCACCAACAACCTTACACTACAAATTTAAGTTGACAAAGGTCCACTTTTCTGAAAAACTCACCCCACCATCATCAATAACCTCTATAAGGCTATAAGTTAAATACTTCCGCAGAAAAAAGTGATGTACTGATTCTTGTAACAGCATCACCGACAACCCTAGACGACAGGTCCAGCTATCATTCTGACCCCTTGAGTCAAGAAGATGCCTACTGCAATGGTCATTTCTGCAAATTGTAAACTTGGCCTCCATTTATCAGTTTCCAGAGAGCTGCTTTGGCTTCTTCTAGTGTTTCAACTGAATGACCGACTTCAAACGATATTCTCTGTACATTGAACTGCGGGAGATAAAGTTAAAGGAAAAGTTTAAAGGGTATGTGATGAGAACAACTCTGTATATATACTATATTAAAAGCACGAGGGTTCTTAACGAAATGTCGTTCGTTTTTGTATCCTTTAAAAATCAAACAACAAACAAACAAACAACAACCAATAGAATCTCACAAGTGGGGTCTGGGGAGGATAATGTGTACGCAGACTTTATTCCTATCCCGAAGGGGTAGAGAGGCCGTTTCCGAAAGACCTTCGGCTCAAGATAATATGGGACAAAATTATAATTTGAATTATTTTCTTAATATTTACTACTTTAAAATCAATTAAAAGTTTGCTTATCAAAACATTCGTTATTTAAACTAGGTAAAAAAAAGTCCTAAATATTACGATATTAATATAAAAGAGCTTTATTTTCTTATAGGTGACTTTGATTTTCCTGAACACGAGACGTAAGCATATATTGCTTCTTCCAAGTTTTTGTCTATTTCCTTTCTTATTTGATTATTGCTAATTTAATTATTTTAGACTAAATTAATTAGATTATTAATAAATTTATTCATTAAAACTTACTACAATTATAAATGATAAATATATAAAATTTACCAAATACTAATTATCCATTAATTAATTTTTTCCATCCCATGCAATTAAATCTGTGTCTTCTATTCCTAATCATGCAAATATATATAGTTATACTTAAGAGTTACAAAAGTACATCTATTAAATTAGATATTTCTTCCTTTTATACTAGCTCAAAAACTCTTCTACCATTTTGAAAAAAGAGAGATATGCAACACCTTATTATAGCCTTTTTATTAATGTATAGGTGATTGTGATATGGCTACATAATGTATACTAACAATATAAGTATTTTTTATACTATAGTGAATTGTAACTTGTGATAGCAAGTTAAAATTTATTTGTAATATATTATCAATTAATGCTTAGATATAATTAGTAATTACCTTATAATTAAATTGATTCTGTAAATAATTTATACATATTTGAATTCATGCCTATGTCTCTCTCCAATTGCCTTCCACCAATGAAAGTAACACTTCTCAACTTAGAAGTTTAAAAACAAAGAAACAACTTCTATTCCCTCTAATCCAAAAATATGAAAGTTTCAAAAAGTTTCTGAAGCTTCAGCTTGATGAGTATTGTATATTGTCTTCATCTTAAATTCGGTGAGAAATCATGAACAATTTACTATGTTTCCATCATAGCAATAGAAACATGATCACCATATATAATTAACTAATATATATATTTTAATTGACATGTACCAAGTAATGAGTGTTCAATTCAAAAGAAAGTTATGAAAAATCGTTTTATTATAGATACCCTAATAAGAATTATATTTGTTGTAAGTTTACCTTTTTCAACTGTTTTCATTAAGATACCATTCAAGTATTTCTATGGCTAGAACTTTTCTTTTCGTTATTCTTTTGTAGGATTGGTTTTCAAATTGCTTTTCTTATGTAGTTTTGTTTGATTAATTTTTATTTCCCTCTTTAACTGTAGTTGATTATTTGAAGGCTTAGTAATTGTTATGATTAATATTGGACAAAGATTTACATGTTTAGATTATCAGTTTTGTGTATTCTATTTTTAGTCCCCTAACTTATTGGATAGGTGCTTGATAGAATAGTATCTTTACACCTTATGGGCAGTGCTATCAAAGCGAAAAGCGCAAAAAAGCTCTAAGGCCGGTTGTGGCTTTAAGCGCTAATAAAGCGTGGGCTTTAATGAAAAAAGGCGCGATTGGAAAGTAAAAATATGTATATGCAGTCCAAGACCAATAATTGTAAGTATAAATAACAAATATATGGACAAAATTTGAAAAAACATTACGATAAAGCGAAATATCAATTGTTCAATGTCGCCTTTTCACGATTACATTCATTGGCAAGGAAAAATATGTCTTAGAGCTTTGATGGGACACTGAAGCGCCCACAAAGCGAGGCGAAGCGCTTAACATGTTTTGAGCCTCGCTTTAGGGCTTAAGCGCGCCTTTGACAACACTGCTTATGAGAAAACAAAGTATTTGATCGTCTGAGAGTTAACTAATGAATTTGACATTGCTGGAGTAAAAAATGTTATTTATTCAATAAAGATTAGATAGTAGTTTGCTAAACATTCACTAAGGTGGTGGATGCTTCATCATATGATTTTAGACCTTCCAACATTGTTGCCCGTTGGTAAAGTTAAATATAACAAAAAATTAAGCATTTAACTTTTGAAACTTTACATTCAAGTCTTTTTTTTTTCAAAGAAGTTCTAAGAGTCGAGAAAAATCTAAAAGAGGTACTAAAGAAGTTTCAAGGTTTGGTTACTGTGTATATCTTCCTAATTAAGTGATGACGCTTAATAATTTTGAAATAAGAAATGCACCTTTTTATAGTCTTTTTGAGATTGTGATATGGATTTTAGTTATATTCATATCAATGGAATTTAAACTTGAAAGAAACTAAAATTCAGTGGAATTAACATGGAAGACGTTAGAATTTGATGGAATATATCTACTTAAAAGGTAAACTTAATTTGTTTGACTGAGGATTGAATAGTTCTATGGGACATAGTTTCTTTCTTTATCGTGCAATTAAATAAGATTAACAATAATCTTTTTCATGAACGTACATTATTTTTTTTATTTTTTTTGTAATAATTCAAACATAAATTTAATATTTATTTATTTAACTTCACAAAATTTACACGCGCAACACGAATACAATAGACTAGTGAAAAAAGAAGCAGCAAACAGAAAGTACCTGTGCACCTTGGCGGACACGGACATCTGTCCCCTTGCTATCTATTGATATCAAAGCAGCATCATCCACCTCAACTTCTTGCGACAAAAGATCTTTTAGAGGCTTTGAAAAGATTGCATTGAGCTCCTACAGAATCACCAGCACATTCGCAAACTTATTCAAAGAAAGGAAAGGAGGCAAATGAAGCCATGTTACCTACTAGAATGGAAATACAGTCTTACATATCACACGCTTATAAGTTCTAATAGTACTTCTAAAAAACATAGCAGCATCAACAGGCTGCCAAAAACATACCTTAAGATTTTGTTCACCACCATCAACAGCAATTTTGTCAGGCTGAAGCGTCTCATACTCCTTGACATCCACCCACGCAACAGTTCCAAAGCCTCCAATAAAATATATATCGCTGTTATAATTGATAAAGCAGG